TTATTTTATGATAATTTTTTTGTAAAATTAGAATTATACATTAGAATAAATATTTAATTTAGATATACATTAAAAAGTAATTAAATTTAGATAATCAATATATAGAAGAGATAGTATTTTTATTAAAATATCTCGTCCTTATAAAAGATCAAAAGTTTAGAAACTCAAACTACAAGTAGCAATAAAAATATATTTTAAAAGTAGAATTAGATTGATATTGTCAATGTATTTTAAAACTAATTTTTCCGATGTCTAATAATTAAGGATTACTTTCTCAGTTTTCTATTTAACCTATTTCTAAAGTTTATTCTTTTTCATTTTTAAGAACAACAACAATAATAATAATAATAATAATAATAATGATGATGATGATGATGATGATGATGATGATGATGATCATGATGATGATGATCATAATAATAATAATAATAATAATAATAATAATAATAATAATAATAATAATAATTCTTGATGAGATCTGATTTTAAAAAGTCCTAATCTGATCTGATCTGATCTGATTTGATTGAATTTGATCTGATTCGATCTGATCTGATCTGATTTTAATAAGTTAAATGTAGTCCTCAGCTCCACATTTTTTTAGAAAAAAGTTTTTGAAGCGTGTAAAGAAGAAGAAAAGAAAAGAGTATACCGAGAACTCTGTCTTAACTTTTAGTTCTTAACACCCATCTACGATCCCAATATCTTTCTTGTCTGCATTTGAAGACTTCGTGGTAAAGGCCTCCCGTTTTTCTCATCTTAGAACCGATTTCTAAAGTTTCTCCACTCTTAGCTTTGGATCAGATTTGACTACTGTAGCTTTAAAAAAAAGGGATTTTGTTGATCTGAGTTTCTTTCTCTTTTTCCCCCCTTTCATGTAAAAGTTTTGCTGAGAAATGGACCAAACAATTGAGCGGTCTCCTGATGCACACAGGGGATTCAGAGTTCAAGCTCCACTGGTGAGATTTTACATGGTTATTGCAATTCCTGTCTTCCTGTTAATTTCTTTGTCCTCTTAATTCCTCCCTCTTTATAGATTTATTTGTTTTTTTTATCCCCAATATAATGCTTTCCTATGAAAGTTCCCCTTTTTGAATGTGAAACTTTTCAATTCAAAATCCTCTTTGAAGATTGAAGAACTAATGCGGTAGCTTTCTAATACTTTCGGCTTTTGGCAGGGAAATAAGCTGGATGTGTTTTCTCAAGCTTATTTAGACATCAACAACAATAATGGAAACGGGCAATATCAGCTAATATTCGCCTTTTAAAGTGCATACCAGTATACTACTCCGTAGTATGGGATGTTGAATAATGACTGATCTTGCTCTTTCCATTATTGTCGTTGTTGTTTTCGTCTAATTTAATTTGAATATAGTTTTTCATTTATTGTACTAGTGAAAAGCTATTCCTAGTAATTGAAATCTGTAATTTTTTTTGGTGCTTTATGGCTTAGACTAACTTTTATTTGGCTCATTAATCAAACCAAACCCAACATACCTTTTTATGTTCCGCCCGGAAGTCAATATTATTATCTTTAATTAGTATCTGTATTAATTGGCTCATAGATAATTAATACTTTTTTTTATTAATGAGAATCTATAAGTAGTTTGGACTTTGGACGTTCTTTGGTACATTGAGGGATGTTGGCAAAATGGTGATACATGCCATGTTAATGAGTCTCATTAAGGCGCTCAAATGATTTTAAATGAGCTAAGTACATTTTGGGAGGTTAAAAGTATGTCAAAGATCAATGTTTATGCTTGGATTAAGTTCATTTAAAAAATAGAATTCGTAATTGAAAAATAATTAAGTGACATGCTTAAGAGAGTAAAAGTTTTATCCCACATTGAAAGTTGAAGAGGGGGAAAGGGTGTTGGAATAGATTAGCTAATTACTTAGTTAGTTAATCAGTTGGTTATGATTGTTATCCTCTTTCATTATCTAGCTGATATTAGCTTACAACAAATACAGTTCTTTGTATCAAGACCAATGCAATCTTTGAGATCAATAGATAGAGAAGTTTATACCTAATTCTTCCTTTTCCTTCTCGTTGTTTTCTTTGCAATCAGACTATGCCTTTCAACAGTTCTTTGTACGTTAAAACTTCAAAATATATTTTTCATCCGCATGAAATAATTCTAAATTCTAATATATGTACGTATACAACAACAACAACCCAGTCCAATCCCACAAAAGTAGGGTGTGGGGAGGGTGTGTGTATGCAGAATGTAGCACGATAAGAAAATATAAGGGCGAATTAAGAGTAAGGAAAGCGCAATGGTGGCCCACAAATAGCTGCAAGAAGAAATACCTCAAGCTTAGAACACACACAATGAGAAGCAATAAAGACTACCACCCAAGTCCAAACGAGTATGTGTCGAGTATTTAGAGAACCAAACGAACAAGAGATTTAAATGATGTTATTTGAATACATTTAGGTAAAGTTCTCCCACGCCTAACGGATACCTCAATAAGTGAGTATCTGTTTGATCTTTGATGATTTGTTGAAAACCAAACACTTGTAGAACTCAAGAATATTACCAACCTTGTTACCTTACAACATATAGTTGTGCCTATTTGAAATATAAAAGATATTAGTGTCATTAACTTAATGTTGGTAAAATTCATTATAATTTGAAGAGAAATAAGACATTGAAGGTTGAACCCTGCTTCAATACTGAATTTAATATTTCTGTGTGTATCAATTCTCATATGTACACTACTGACTACTCGAGCTATGGAGCGGAGTGTTGGGCTGTTACATGTTCGTCAACTAGCGGCATAGATGCAAATGCTATGGTGGATGTGTGGGCAGACAAGGTTGGATAAGATTCAGATAGATGTTATCCAGGGGCTAGGTTGAGATGGTTTGGACAGGTGCAGCGGCGTTGCATGGAGGTCCAGTGCGAAGATGCGAGAGGCTCTCGTTAGAGGGTGGGGTAATGGAAGGGGTAGAGCTAAGGAGAATTGGAAGGAGGTGATTAGACAAAATCTAGGATTTCAGGCCCTCACCGAGGATATGACCCTAAATTGGAGCTTCCGGAGATCTAAAACTAGGGTAGTTGGTTAGTAGTTTGGACCTATGTGGTATTCTTTGTTCGCCGTTGTATGATTTCTAGGCTTGGGGTCTTTTTGCTTGCAACGTTTGTGTGCATTTTGTCTCTTTGCATTTTCCATACTCTTAATTTCCTATGTGCTCTTTATCGTGCTATACAATTTCTGTGTTGCTCGAGTTGGGGGTCTCCAGCCTCTTTACTTTTAAGTAGGGGTAAGTGTGCAAACACACACCCTCCCAAGACCCTACTTTCGTGGGGTTATACTAGGTTGTTGTTGACTACTCAGAGCTCTTTGGTAGAGATGAAGAAATATATACAGATGTGTGATCTCAAATTGTTTGTTTTATTAATTAGATTATGAAATGCCCGGATTTCTGATACTTAAAACGTGAGACTTAGGTAGTTGGGTTTACTATCAGAATGGAAGAAATGATGAAATTGATCATATTTCCTCTTAAATGAAGTTCGTGCATTGCATATATGTCGCATAACTAAATTTCTTGAAAACAAACCACTTTCCTAGAGTACTATGATCTTTGGACACTCTGAATTGACTTTTTATCTCAATATGCAGGTTAATGACACTTTTAGTTTGAATTTTTAGAATTGGGTTGATTCTTAAACCTTTTTCGAATGAAAGATGATCACCACCATTGAAGAAACTTTTAAAAGAAGTTTTCCTATAAATGTGTGAAACACATAGATCCCCATATACTATGGCAGAAGTTAATCATGCATTAATTTAATTATAAACTCTGAGGTAGATAGTATGGGTTTGTTGTTGTTGTTGAGGTGGATAGTATGGCTCTTGTAAAAGAGTTGATCCTTAGGAGACTGTTTTGTGTTACTTGAGCAAAGGAGCAAATTATGTGATATACTCCCTTCGTCTCCAAATTGAATTTACACTTCTCCACTTCACCTTTTAAGAAATAAATATGTGAACAAGTTTATTTCTCTCTTACAAATAAGTTTCAACCATAGATTTTTCACCTAACACCTTTCTTAAGCTCCGTGAAGTCAAAGTATCAAGTTGGTTTGGAGATGGAAGTAGTATTTGTGGTTCTTTATTGTTATTAGTAATAATATTAGTATTTTAGTTAAGTCCTGAGAATATGGCAGGATCTGATTTGGCCATTAATATGGGTGATTTAGGCATTAATATGGGAGATATAGTTTCCTTATATTAGCACCCTTCTTATGTATATATATATAGTCATTTTGTAATATGTAATTATGTATTATGAGGAAAACCTCTGATTATCAGTCACATGGTATCGGAGCCAGTGTGCTCTAGGGTTAGGGTTCATTATTTGTAAAAAAAAGGGGGGGCTTCTGCCATTTTGACGCTGTCTCTAAGGGTGCTCGCCTGACGTCACCGCCACCGTGGGTGGAGTCGCACGTTGCAGGAGAACAATTCTGGAGAATCTCTCCTTCGTTGGAGACCTCACGTTAGATCCACTGTCAAAAATCACTGTCAGGGTCGCCTGAGTCATCAAAGCACCTGTGCAGACTCAGTTTGGACATTCAGTGGGTGATTTTTGCTCTGTCTTCCTCTGCCGATCAGGTTTTGTTCAAATTTTAGTCCATTGAAATGGGTGATAAGTCTAGTGTCATCACTGAAGTTTTTCCAGTCATGTCTAAAATCACAGAGTGGAAACTTAATTCCTCTAATTATCTGGAATGGGTCACGACTATTAAACTATATCTCCGAAGTACTGACAAGGACGATCATATGACTGATGATCCTCCTAAGGATGCAACTACTAAGAAAGTGTGGTTGAGGGATGATGCTCGACTATTCCTCCAAATCCGGAACTCAATTGATGGGGATGTGCTTGGGTTAGTTGGCCATTGTGAAACAGTTAAAGACTTGATGGAATATTTGGAATTTCTATATTCAGGTAAGGGAAATCTTACTCGTATCTATGACGTATGTAAGGCTTTCTATCGGGCAGACCAGCAGGATCAATCTCTTCAAGCATATTTCATGGACTTCAAGAAGACATATGAGGCCTTAAATTCATTGATGCCCTTCACTCCAGATGTCAAAACTCAGCAACAACAGCGAGAGCAGATGGCAACAATGAGTTTCTTGGCAGGCTTGGCCCCGAGATTTGAGGCTGCCCGAGAAAGGGTCCTTGCAGACTCTGAGGTTCCCACTTTACAGGATGGGTACTCACGGATTCAACGTAGTGAAAGTGTAAAACCCATAGAGCCTTCTGATGGTGCACCCAAGAATGCTCTTATAAGTCAGAGGATGCAAACTGAGTCACCAAAGCAACCATATAAGTCATTCGTTCGTAGTGGCACCCCACAGAATCAAGAGCCCATAATCTGTCATTATTGTCACAAAGAGGGACATTATAAGCGTGATTGTAGGAAACTTCAACGTGTTAATCAAAGG